CCCCTGCCCCTTTATCAGTCAGGCAACAGATACAAGACCCCTGTCAGGCAAACAGTTTACAAATATCTTCTGCCATGCTCCTGACTGTCCTTCCATTTTCTTGATGCACAAATTTCTAAAGCCCAAAGCCCAGTTTTCTTTTTGCCACTTATTGCTTCTGGGGTCACAGCTCGGGCACCAATGTCTTCCTCACACACACAAATTCCCTCCAATCTTCTCTCCCATGAATTTTACAGTGGTGGCTCTCACATCTGGGTGAACGGCTGGTTTTGAGCTGGACTTGGTGCATGGTGCGGGGAGGAGATCCCTTCTTGTTCTGTAGCACTTTGCAGTGACTCACTCTGGCCCGTGACAGCACTGAGATGCCCTGGGAATTAATTGACCAAGGCCCAGAGAGGTTACGTGACTCGCCCAAGGGGCACAGCTGGTCACAGACAGGACTAACCGACCAAGTTTTACTTCAGAGCCTGTTTTCTTAATGTCTTCCCCTAAAATGAAACTGAGATTTCAATAAAGTAAGAACGGGTCTGGATGTTCACGAAATGACATTAGAACAGCTGATTTCCAGTGTGAGACGCCACCAGCTTCTACTCGTGAATTTCATTGTGATAATTTCCTCAGGAGTAAGAAGTTAAGTGACAAATATAAATGTTAGTGTGGAAATATTAGGCCAAAAAAACCCTTTTAGAGTGGTAGGAAAGGGAAAGGGGAACCCCAAAGGAATCTGTTAGTTAGCTACAGAAAAATTTTAAACCTATAGGTCCAAGGATACACAATAGGGTTCAATGTTTCAGGCTTATAGTAATGGCAGAATACTTGGAGAGACGAACCTTTCCACAGGCGATATGGAGCCTGGATGGTGCATGCACGTGCGTGCGCACACGTATATTCCACGTAACCACAGCGACCTTGCCGCTCCCGACATAACCAATGTCTACCCTGCGCTTTGCACTCGGTGCTCCACTTGCCTGAAGTGCTCCTCGAGACACATGCACACCCTGTTGCTGCCTTAGCTCCTACTCTCTGCCAGGCACCCGGGCCGACCCACCCGTGTCTCCTCCCCAGGGGAACCTGAGCTCCCCCAGAGAAAGAACACTTGACTTGGTCAAAGGCGCGCAGGACCCAGAACAGTCCCGGACACTAGGGGGCGCTCAGTGAACACCGCTGGACAGACGACTGGGAGGGCGACCAGGAAGGCGGGGAACAGGAGCAGGGGTAGGAGGTGGAAGACAGCAAGGAAGAAGAGGAGGAGGGGAAAAGGGGAGGAAGAGGAGAGGGAGGATCAGGAGGAAGGGTGGGGGGGAGGTTGGAGACAGTCATGGGCAGAAAACAGTGCTCTTCTTCAGAGAATCGCTGGCCGCCTATGTTCTCCAACAGCCGCCCAGTGTGAGTGTCCTTGTCGCTGCACCAGGTCCTGGCCAGCCTCAGTCCAGGTGGGAGTCCCCCATCCTTGCGGTGGTCCTGGAGGGACCCAGAAGAGGAACAAGACGCTGCCCTCAGGGCTCCTAGAGGCTGTGCTCCAGGGACGACCCCTGACCTCCGGGCCAGCGCTGCCAGATGAAGAAATGCCACTGGATGGGCATTTCCACTTTCCTTTACAGAGCCATTTCTTCCTTAGGGCACTGGGAATTGAACCCAGGGCTTTCCCACTGAGCTACAGCCCTTTTCACTTATTTTGAGACAGGTTCTAAGCCCCAGGCTGGGCTCAAACTTGTGATTCCCCTGCCCCGGCCTCCCAGAGTGTGCACCACCATGACCACCTACCAGGAGGACTTTATGGAATGTGCCTTTTGCCAGGAAATGCTTCTGTTTTTCTCTTTCTGTCCACCTAATGGTTATTTTATTTGATGGCATTATCCTGTGATACTGACTGTATTGTTACGTAGGCGTATTTCTATCACATCTGTAACACTGTAAAATGTCATTGTCATCTACGTACCCGTTATAGAAAGGAAAGCAGCATGCTTTCTCTCTCCAGTTCCCGCTCCTGTGCCTTCGGTCTACTTTTCCCGCTGTCCCTGTGCTGCCCCTGGCGAGGCACCCTCCCGACCGCTGCCCATCATGGCCCGGTGAGGGTGCAGAGGGCACAGCTCGTCCTGGGTTGCAGGTTCCACCCTGAAGAGCAGTTTGTTCACCTCGAGTGACTTGATGCGGGCACCCGGTGGGGACCCCAGAGCCTGGTGCAACGGCAGCACTGCCCCCCTTATATAACCTGCTAAACTCACTCACACAGTACCGTAGACGCTCAAGAGGCTGAAACAGTTCGAACTATTTTACCAGCTATTATGCTTCCTGCCGCAGCTGCACGCACCGCCTTGTGCGTCCCTGAGAGATCACAGCTGCAAGCAGGGCCCTGCGTTACTGTGCTCTGTCCTGCGGAAGTCGGGGAGGACAGCGCCCACCGGTAAGGGTCATTTCCTGTGCATGTGTGAGCCTGTGGCTGTGCATGTGTTTTGTGCACACGCGTGTGTCTGCATTGTCATGCATCCCCCTACTCCCTCCAGGAAGAAGGAGCCCGCTGTGCCATTCCATACAGTGACACGCTCACCCTGACACCCTGAGTCTTCGAGACTCTGGAGCCACAGGATTTCATTCGACAACCTCGCAGTCAGCTCAGCTACCGTAACAAAATGCCATGAGCTGGGGACTTACCCGCAACAGACATTTATGTCTTCCAGTTCTGGAGGCTGGAAGCCCCGGGCCCTGGGTGCCTGCGGGGCTGGGATGCCCGAGGCCCTCTCTGGTTATCCCAAGGTCCTTCCAGGGCGAAGGGGTTCCTGAGGCTGATGTCCAGCCCCACGCATGGGCCTGGCCCTCCTCTTTACTGACGCCCCACAGTCCCTCCACCTGAAACCATCTGTGATGGCCCTCGAGAGCCTCCTGAGCTCACAGGAGGGAGCCTTGTAAGGTGACTGGATCAAGGGCCTTGGAGCTGACCTGCTGGCCGGAAGAGGAAGGTCACCTTGGGTGTGGTCTTTGGAGGGTCCCTCTCCCTCCCCAGCCCCTCCCTTCTCTCTCTGCTTCCTGTCCTCCATGCCATGAGCAGCTCTCCTCCACCAGGCCCCTCTGCCAGGCTGCCTGCCTTGGAGCCACTGGACTATGGACTGAACCCTCCACAGACTGTGAGCTAAATAAACCTTCCTCCTTTAACTTTCGGGTACTAGGTATGTGTCTCAGAGACTAGAAAGGGACTAAGATGCCGTCCCATCGGGGGCAAGGATGTCAGCATGTAGACTCGAGGGGGACACAGACACCCGGATTGTTGTGAGAGATCACTGACCCCACAGGCTGCAAGGTCTGGCGCCTTTGGTGCCCTGTGCTCTGCTGTGGTCCCTGTGCTTCTAACATGCGGGAGTTGTGCACATAGATGCCCCCTGCAGAGGCAGCTCACGGAGCAGGTGCCAGGCTGTGGCTTCACTCACCTGGAAGCCAAGGCACCAGCTCCTAGTGCACCAGTATGGAGGGAGGTGAAGGGGGAGGGGTCCTACAATGTCTGCCTTCCTCAAGGTGACTTCCGTCAGGCTCCTCTCCGTCCCCTCAAGCTGAAGTCCCATCCTCCTCTGAAGATCCCCGACAGGGCACTTGTCCCTCCCTCTTGCACTATTAGAGGCAGAGCTCTTCCTGGTGTGCCCGCCCCTTCCAAAGCATGCACCTATTTCCTCACAAGCATTCGCCCATGGTGGCAGAATTTACACCCTTCACAGGGTGTAAATATTAGGTCCTAGATACAGGCTTGTGGAATAGAAAACTGCCTTATATACTTAAAATAAGATAACTGTAAAACAAATTCCTTTGCCCAGGAAAATATGGACTAACATTGGACAACATGGACACTCAGTTCTTGGGTTGCTTAATATTTCATCAATTCACAACTTTAAAAAAATTACTATGTCACGTTTGGATGTAGATGATGCCATGATGTGTCCTCAGATTCTTGCAAATCAGTTTCTCCAGAGCATAGAACTGAGAGGTCAAAAGTTGTCAAAACTTATGGCATGAATATGTGCAAAATGGATTTCAAACAGCTGTGTTTTGGAACTGTTTCCCAGTATAAAAGTTTAGTAAACAGCTTGGTATTTTCACTGGTTTTCTGGAAATAATAGAGTGAAATAAATTCTGACAATTAGGATGGATACTACTCGTTGTAACTATCTTTATAGTTCACACACACACACACACACACACACACACACACATATACATCCATCCCTCTGAAATTCACTTTGTAGATCCAGCCCTCCTAATAAGTGATCTGGGAGAGATCTTTCCAAAGTAGCAATAGCAAAATTAAAAAAATTAAAACAGGGAGTTGGAGCCAAGCTTTCTTGTTGGGAAGAAATCACAGTTTATCCAACAGAAAACTGTGTATAAACAGACCCGAGCCATTCGTTATATACCAGACTGGCAATCATTTGTTACTGAGCAGGGCTCAGGCTGGCCAGCCGGTGGGGCTCGCTCCCGGTGTGGAAAGCGATTCCTCCCAGGGACTCTTTCCTGCACAGGGTCGTGGCAGAGACCCCAGGCGCCAGGCTGCACATTCCTGGCACTCTGTGCTTGTTGCCTTTTGGCGATAGGTTTCTAATGGTTTCATTGTGTTTTTTGTAATTATCTTGGAAAGAAACTCTATGGCCCAGCCAGGTCGGCAGATATAAAATGCGTGCAGAAAGGCTTCGGTAGAGAGGCCAGGCTTTGGACTTTCACGGTAAAATCGGCAGGAGAGCAAAGCAGATGCTAAAGGAGAGGTGGCCCAGGCCTGCACCTGCACCAGCCGCAGCCCCAGGAAGACAGAATGGGGCTCCGGCTTCCGGCTGTCAACAACTGGCTCTGTGCTCGGCAGCCTTCAGCCATGTTTCTGGGGCAACAAAGCTGGAAACTTGAAACCCCCACTGGAGCAAAGCCCCGGGTCTCTGTAGTTTTCACCTGGAAACAGGTGACAGGGAGACAATGGCAAGGCTAAGCCCCCGCCCTAGGTAGGAAAACGAAGCATTCTTCTTCCTTACTTTTAACCGTGAGGTACATGGACTTGCTGACGTCCGCGCCCACATCGTTGCTGACCTTGCAGAGGTAGTACCCGCTGTCTTCCTCCACCACGTGCTTGATCAGCAGTGACCCGTTGCTGAGGACCTGGATGCGGCCATTCAGGGCGATTGGCTGGAACTGGGGCACCCCAGCACCTGGGAGAGAACGGAAAAGGAGAACCGTGACGCCAAGGTGCGCAAACCCGGGGCGAGAGCACACGAGGGCGCATCCAGACCACAAAGAGACCGTGGAAAGGGAGGCTTGGCTACACAGAGGGTGTTTCTCTCCCTTCAGCACTGAAATTCCTGTTCGGAGAAAAACACATTTATTGAAAATGACAGCGTTTCAAAGTCGGAGATAAAAAGTAAGAGTGCTTACAGATAGTGCCTACATAAAAAGCTGAGCTTGATGAGTGTTTAGCTGATAAATTATTCAAAGACATCACAGTAGAACAACCACAGAAGTAGACATCGCTCATGGTACTAAATAAATTCCTCCTGTTCCCAGGGACTTAGTCCACGTGTGAACATGGTGGTGCCCCAGGGATGTGGCGTTTGAAGTCTTAGCTTGGCGCACACAAGTGAGGCCACAGAGAGAATGCAGGGATTGTGGATTTTCTTCTAAGTGGGCTTACGTTCCAGTGGAGAGACACCGACCACTGTGGCTATCACTTAGCGCTATTTTCCTAAGTGCGGCAGGCCACTGTATGAAGACAGTACAGGGCAAGCCCGGGCTCCCAGGCAGGAAGAGGATAACACAGTTGGAACATGCTAACGTCACAGAGGGGAGGGGAGTCCTATGGCAGACGAGTCATCTCCCCAGAGAGATGGGAAACTTGTGAAAAGACAGCATTTTAGAAATAACGGATCAGAGGAAGAGGCCTCGGGGAGTTCCTGGGAAAACAGTGGTGTGGATCACCCGGCCCCACTGCCTGCCCCTCTCAGGCCTTGCAAGTCTCTCCCAAGGAAGGCTTCTCTTTTCTGGTAGAAGTAGGGAGCCCACAGTGGCGGGGTCCTGCCTGAGGATGTGTGGATCTTCCTACAGGAGCTCAGGTGTGGGCTGAGGCAGGTGCTGGGGAGGAGCTGCTGGACAGGCCAGCTGTCTGGAGGGAGGACACTGGCCGGAGGAAAGAGGCTCCCTCCCGGCTCTGCACCCAGCTGATAACTTGCAGCTCAGTGGCCCTGGAGCTCTGGGTGCCAGACTGGCTGTGCTGTCCCTGAGTCATGGCAGAGAGACAGGAAGTGGGTCCTGCACCCGGGAGAGCTTCCTCACTGAGTAACAGGAAGTGGGTCCGGCACCCGGGAGAGCTTCCTCACTGAGTAACAGGAAGTGGGTCCTGCACCCGGGAGAGCTTCCTCACTGAAGGAAGGAGCTCTCTTCTGCTAAGGCTGTGGAGAGTGAGAAAAGGGTGCTTTCCTTGCCCCTGCAAAGAAAAACTCTGTTAATCTGCAGAATTACATTTTTCTTTGATTAAATCAGAAATTTGGAGTCATAGGGAACTGGTAAACTGGAAAAGAGGTGTGAGCAATATAAAATAATTCACCTTTGGCACATGATAGAGGGAAGAGGTCAGGGCACACAGTCAGGTCTAAACTACAGAACTGGAAACAGCTGCAACCTACTGCATTCTCTACAATTCTCCTTTTCCTCCTTCATACTGGGGATTGAACCCACACCCTTCACACTGAGCCACATCCCCCTCCTGTTTTCTTTTTTATTTTGATACCAGGTCTCACTATGTCACCCAGTTGTGATAGTCCTGCCTCAGTTTCTCAGCGTGCTGGGATTGCAGGCATGTACCACTGTGCCTGGCTCTTTACTCTTCTTTTCTACACACAGTGGCCAGAATCCAGTAGGAAATTATGAGACACATACAAAGGGGGGGGGGGGAAGAGGGAGGGGAAGAGAATGAATCAAAGAAAAAATCCACAGGTCCCTATAAGAAAAAGCTAACACTGCTGGACAGAGACTTTATAAGCATTATGTTTAATATGCATGAACACATGAAGGAATTCAGATGAAATATTAAAACGATAAAAAAGGACACAAAATAATAGGAACAACAAATACTGTATTAGGTACAGTTTAGAGGTGCAATGTCCCCCACCCCCCTGTGCTCACCGGTGGGCTGTTGCAGGGTGACTGGATCATGGGGTGCTGTGCTCATCACTCAAGAGCCTAGAGCTAAGTGAGCTGTTAGGAGGGGGTCTGGTTAGAAGGGGCGGTCACTGAGGTATGACCTGGGAAGGGGCGTCTCCCTCCTGGCTCCCCCTTCTCTCTCTCTCTGCTCTGTGGCCACCAGGCCTGAGCAGCTGTCTGTCCACCAGGCCATTTCTGCCTTGGAGCCTGCTGACCAGGAACTCTAACTGTGACACAAAGTAAACCTCTCCTCCTTCAAGCTGCGGGTTTTGAGGAAAGTGAGTAAGAAATATTAGATATGAGCAATTTATTAAAAAGCTTTATTAGCAGACAACACTGCAGAGGAAAGAATTAGGTCAACAGAAATTAGTAAAACAAAAAGGGCAAGAGAGAGAAATAGATTGCCCTAGAGTTCTGGAACAATACTGAATATTCGAAACATAGAAAACTTTAATACTACTCTAAGAATAAATTTGACTTAGTTGACACTAATGGAATTTTACACTCAACAAGAGCAGAAGATACACACACACACACAGAATATAATAGAATATATAGAGAATGGATATAT